AAGGATCATCAGTCACCATCAGGATCCAATGTTTATAAACTTGCCCCATCCCGGGGTGTCCCTCCCTTATTGCCTGCTGAACATTGGAGGGAGGTTTGCCCTCCACACAGGTCATGGTAGTCTCCGATGCCGGGCATGATGAAAGTTTTAACATTAGTTTTCGTTTTCTCTCTTCCTTTATTGTTACTGGCCCTACATTTACCAGTCCCAATGGGACCCTTTTGGCTATCAATAACTGATAATTGTCCTAGAATATTGCATATTGTGAGTTGTTTGTACCAGCCCTGATGGGTTGTAGTTTGTAGAGAAATGTATCATTTTCTGGACTGGTTTGTAACCCATTCTTTTCTATGATAAAACGAATAAACACCATTGAAATTAAACTTGCCCCATCCCTAAGAAGACTGATGACATACACACACACACAGAAACGCAAGTCTCAGGGCACAACGCCCTCCTCGAAGCTCACCAGATAAAGTCTGATTTTTCCAGGGAAGAGGTGTCCTCTGCACCAGTCTTGCTCGTCTTCTGAGCCTAGTTTTATGAGCTCTTCCTCTACAGAATGAAACCAAAAACGGGTAAATCCAAGTATTTTAGACACTGCAGTAAAGGCACTAAAGTAGGACTAAAACACTGAAGCTACATATATTACGAGATTTTCAAAGGAAGTCTGGGTTTGATTATACAATGCTGATATACCGTGCCTGGACAGTATGTGCACCCGTTTTGATGGATGTTCATAGAGATGAATAATCAAAAATCTTCTTTGTCAAATGAATCGCTAGAAAAAAAAAATATTTTGTATTTTTAGTTTTGGATAGAGTGGAGCTGCGTTAGAACCTCTGTCTGCTTTTTATTGCTGTCTGTGGCCCCACCTACTCTCTCTATTTGACTTGATGATCTTTGTTGTCACCAGGACAAATGATAATGAAGTGTGTCGAAAAATTCCAGTTATCACCAGAGAAGAAGGTAAAAGGAAATCTTCCAATTGGGCACATGTTCTGGTAATCGTTTTCTAACAGGAGATTTCTCCTTACTTTGGAGTAATTGCGCTTTCATTGCTTGCCTTCAAAACAAGAAGCGAAAGTATATAACTTCAAAATGTTTGGCTAGATATACTGTATACTTTAATCCAAAATGGAGCTAGGCTTTCATTGTATTTTAATATCAACCTTCACTTTTATTTTTCTCCAATACACCTGCAGTTTACATAACATCAAATGATGTCCTGATGTCAGGTAGGCCCCATTCACTTATTGAACATTGGGAACAAGCGTTCCTGCTCGTGATTTTGTGAGCGTCATTTTCATGAGATTCCATGTGTTGCGCCTAGGGAAGCCCATTCACTTGAATAGGCTGTCCTATCTGTATTCGTCACCCAAAAAAAAGCTCAGGGACCAAATTCTGACACTGAGCAAGGCACAATTTTACATGCATATTTTGCAACAGAAAAATTGCAGCAAAACTGAACCACGTTTGGGATGCCATTTAGGGTGAATGGCACCCAAATACACCACGTGCGTTTTGTCATGACTTGGAATCACAGGCAGAATAATGCCAATTTTGCCCATGATTTCCAAGTGTGAACGGGGCCTTAAGATATTGAAAGATCTGAGACATGTGGGGGTCACTGTATTACAATATGTTAGTATATCATATTTGCAAATAACAAATGCCCTTTAGGATTCTATTTTGCTTTGTTGGTTGCTATAGAAGGTACAGTGACAGTCAATATACAATCTGATTTATGCGGTTTACTGAATACATACCTAGTCTTCCCAAAATGGATATTTTAGTTACAACTACAAACAGGTAAATTGATTCAAACATCTTCCTTATATCACTCATGGGTGATACCCACTGCACCATCATTCAGCAATATGTGGTTACCAGAACACCTAGGCCTTTGTTCATGGGACTAAATGCTGTGAAGCTAAGGAGCTGTGGTTTCCCATCAATTATATATTTTGCAACTCCTGCAGCCATTTATGTGTTTAGGGAGCAAGGTGGACAGGGGATCTTATTTCTACAATAGGTCTACTATAAGAAGCCTCTCTCCTCCTGCTACATTCTCTTCTATGTAAAATAAATTGAGACAGAGAACTATTCATTATTGCCATGGTAAACGAGCAGAACTATAAATACATTTGAATGAATGCCATCTCCTCATTTACTGTTAGATCTATAAAAAGTAAGAGGGTGATTTAGTCCTCAGAAATATCAGTTTTAGGTGGATATGTGAATTAATAAAATGAGCAATATTTACCTACCTTGTGTTTGGCATATGTTTGTTGAAAGCTTCCTTATGACCCAAACATATCCAACTTTTGACCAGGGTGCTCCAGTCTGATCATATGATCTCCCCAGAGGCTGGCTTCAGGGGAGAGGCCAAAGCGCCAACAATGGAATGTCTGGGTGGTGATGTCACCCATAGGCTTACTCTGGGGCTGTCCCTCCTCTTTCCTGAAGCCGCTGCTGGGAGCCTATCACATGACCAGCCTGGAGCCCTCTGAGAATAGGCAAGTTCCTTTCTGCCTAGGCCATTTTTAAGCTTTCAGTGCTGTCACACTTTGACAATTATTTAGTCATGCAACACTGTACCTGTATGAAATTGTTGCCATTTTTTCAGACAAAGCATTCTTTTGGTGGTACCAAAAAGCACTGTTTTTTTTATCTTGTGCTATATAAAGCCAAAAAAAAAAAACAATTTTGAAAAAAACCCACTTTCTGTTATAAAATCTAGAAAATAAATAATCTTTCTTTGTAAATTTAGGCTAAAACGTATTCTGCTACATTTCTTTGGTAAAAATAAGTCAAATTAGTGTATATTATTTAGTCTGTGTGAAAGTTTACAAACTATGGTATATGCAGCATATTTGAAAATTGATCAATTCTGCTGTACTGTCTCATTTCTTGAGGCCCTAAAATGCCAGGACAATACAAATACCCTCCCCCCCATGACCCCTTTTTGTAAAGTAAAATGAAGAAATTAAATACAATGTTTTTTTTCACAGTTTAGTTTTTACATATTTTCACCAGAGCAATAGGAACGGTGTGGCAATGATCAGGGATACTGACTGGTGACAGTATGTATGACATACATTTTTATTATTCTCTAACATTTTTTTTTTACATACAGTGACTAGAGCAGTGCAGCGTTCGTGTTCATAGTGAAAGAAATGATCAGGATATTTTTCACTAGGATTGCTGTAATGCCTATGAAATGTGTTGGCCTTGGACCCTTTGTTTCTTGGGTAATATTTTACAATAAAGTGTTGTTGTCCAAATGCCAGGAGCATGAGAGATGTCATTTCTCTAAGCCAAAGGAACAGAGTCACAAGATATTCTGCTTAGAGTAAGATAAAAACTTGTTTATGGAATTGAACGTGTTTATGACATCTATTAATGTCATATTAGAAGATAAGAACCAGGGGCGGACTGACAACTCACGGGGCCCCCGGGCAATAGGGGATCATGGGGCCCCTATGTCCTTGCCCAAACTCAAAAAAGCCTACGAAAAAGGTACCAGGGGCAACTCATGGGGCCCCCTACTGACCCCGGGCCCTCGGGCAGTGCCCGAGTTTCCAAATGGTCAGTCCGCCCCTGATAAGAACCTGTTTAAAGACGTCTACTTTGCTTGAGAAGTTAGAAATCTTTAAGTTTGAGGTAGATGAGAAGAAGTTTAGGGTAGATAAGAAGCTGAACTGAAGCAAAAATGTGACTTTTCAGATAACGATGTGGACTAAGCGTGACTCTGTTATCCTCCCAGGAACCTTTCTGCTAGCTCCTCCTGTGGTGAGTGTGGCACCTGCCCACTATTGGAAAGCTTCCAGAAAAATTCTTTATGAAGCCGGCAGTCCAAACGAGATCGATTGGGAAGCCATTCCACGCGTGAGGGGACACTCGAACGCTGGGATTCTTGCCAAGGCTACATGGGCTCATCAATCGGTCGTGCTTACGGCTTCCCTGTGTCCCCCTGGGCAGTATAGTTCCGATGGGATTTGTTCCTTCCAGCTTCTAACATAGCTTTGGTAATGTATTAATTCAATGCTGTGATGCTGTCAAATGATGTCTATTTCATGCTGTAATGCTCACATTATTATTGGTGTGTGCTATTATGCAGATTGTGATGACTATAAGATACAAGTATATCCTCCTGTATGTTGTGTGATAAAAGTGGAGGTTTTGACATTGCAAGAATATTGCAGTTGGATTCTATTATTTCTCGGAGTGCCGAGTGAATGCTATGATGTGCAGGGCAGGTATTTGGTAGAGGGTCTTTCACATGCGTAGAATATGTAATGGTATAAATGCTTATTAAAAGTACCTGTGTGTGACTACCTGTTGATTGTGTGCTTGTAAATGTCTTGCTTTTAGTTATTGCACCCATTATTTGTATTACAATTGCCTATAACAGTGATGCTCACTGGCATCCATTCACAGCCATTCATTGAGTATTATTGTGATTAGCTGTGATTAGCTGTGATTGGCCACAGCTATCAGATGGTATACACTGTGATTGGCCCTGTCTGTACCATGTGATCACTTTGACCAAACACAAAGACCATTACAAAAATACACAATGAATGGCTATGAATGAAAGCTATTCATTGTGTACAACAGTCATGTGATTACTGTGATTGGTCATAGAAATCACAGGATACATTGGACTATACCAACACGCGAGGCTTGTGACTGGGAGGACGTCATATGTCATCCACCCAGGGTGGGAGAGCTCCCGCTTGGCCATCATTTGACAAGAGGCCGGGCAGAGGAAAATAAACAAAAGCTATGTAGCTTCTTAGTCAGTCTGCAATTTAAAAAGTAAATAATAACAGACTCCTTTTAATGGTTTAATTTTATTATTTTAATAAATAAAAAACATAAATTATAAACAAAAACGTGTTTAATCTGCTGAAGAAGGTACATTTACATAAAAGGTGGAGACTGCACTAGGACAGACTGAGGTTGTAGGGTAAATCATGAGCAAATTTTATGTTCTAATTCTCAGAGGAGTCGGTCTCCTCGGTGGAGCCATCACTCTCCAGGTCTGGGCGTCTACGGCTGTGTAAAGACTTCTTTGGAGAGGCCACGCGGATGATCTCTCTGGGTGGAAGAGGACAGGGGGCAGGAAGCTGTGTTATGGAGCAAGAAGACAACTGGGCAACACTGGAGTGAGAAAAAGAAATGTAATATCCGTAAACAACACAGTCTTTATAATTATATATATTCACAACATCTTTATAATGTTATAGTCTATGTATCTATAGTCTAGTCAATGCTAGCTAAAGAGGACTTGTTGGAAACCAATTGAATGCCAGCATAGTTTTATGGAGTGGGTTTAACCCCTTCCAACTCTCTCCCGGGGGCCCTTTTAACTGGGTCTGGAAGACAGGATAGACTTCTAGATCACATGATCACTGTGAACAGCTGTCACACTGGACACAAGAGTGGGAGCCTGTCTGCCGGCTCAAGATCGAAAACAAAACCCAGGAGCTGTCCGCGCTCTCAGCATAGAAACCTCAACCCTCATGGGCATGAGAGGTCATACTAGAAGAGAAAAGGCCTTCCCCAAATGGTTGGCACAAAGTTGGAAGTGCACAATTGCCTTAAAGTTCTTCGTATGCTGTAGCATTAAGTCAAAATAGGAGGCCAAGGCAAGACAGTAGCTCCACCCTTCCCCCGCTGACTTTGATACATATTGTAATAGGTACAAAGATGCTGCTCTATTTGCATTGTGCCTACTGGCCGTGTCCATCCCATCAGACACCAATTGCTAAGTGCATCCTCCTTTGTGATGTGCGAGGCAAGTGCACAGCTTTGACCAAGTGAGCAGGCCCCCTGGTTTACAGCAGGAGCATGAAGTTTGTAGCTGGGTCCCCTGATCATCAACTGGGCTTTAGGCTCATGCCTAGGTTGGATGATCTGCACATCATTTGATGGCTAAATGGATAGCACTTCTGCCTGGTTGGCTGGGATTCGAACCAACGATCCTAGTACTCAGTACCACCTGCCTGGAGTTTGCATGTTCTCCCTGTGCCTACGTGGGTTTCTTCAGGGTACTCTGGTTTCCTCCTCCACAATCCAAAGACATGCTGGTAGGTTAACTGGATCCTGTCTAAATTGTCCCTAGTATGTGTATGTATGAATGTGAGTTAGGGACCTTAGATTGTATGCCCCTTGAGGGTTAGGGACTGATGTGAATGTACAATATATATGCAAGGCACTGCATAAATTGACAGCGCTATATAAGTACCTGCAATAAAATAAATAAATGCTCTGGCTTTGGCTGTCACATGCTCTCCCAATGGAGACTGCACATGGCTGTGCTGACACATATTACACAGGTATCTTCCACTACTGTCACTATCAGGAAACTGCTCCAAGAAATGCTATGCAGCCATTGCCAGAGTGCATGTAGACAGAAAAAGGCTGGGAAAAATCTGCAGAGGTAGCATAAAACAAAGGATTAAAGAAAAGTGAAAAAACAAGTATTATATTTATATTGCAGGACTTCTCCAGGACTTCCCCCATCCTCTGGAACTCCCTACCCTAATCCATCAGACTGTCACCTACCCTCCTCACCTTCAGGCGCACCCTGAAAACCCATCTCTTCATGGAAGCCTACCCCAACCTCACCTAACACCCGACCTCACCCAACAACTAACCTCCTCCACTCCTCCCACCACTCCATCCCCACAACCATCTCCTCCTGTGCCACCTTCCCCTCCATCCTAGATTGTAAGCTCGAAAGAACAGGGCCCTCGAACCCCTCGTGTATTGTATTGTTACTGTCTTGTCTCATGTTCTGTCCCCCTCGCTACTGTACAGCACTGAGCAAACCCTTTGGCGCTATATAAATACTGTATAATAATAATAATAATCTTTAACTACGTCCCCCTGGCTACATGCATATATGCAGTCTCTCGGCGGGTGGGTTTCACATTGAGTGGCTGCACAGGTAAACACTTTACTGTACTAAAAGCTCACTCCCGGCACAGTAAACGGCGGGTACCAGAAAGTTCCCGATTCATAGTTGTGATCAGGAGTTTTCCGATCGTGTTACCGCTGTGACTGGAAATCACTGCGATCACGATTGGAATGCCTGTCTTCACATCCTGGCATTTAGAAGCTTGTTAAATGTCCATGAGGCTATGACAGGAACAGGTTACAAAATAGCAAATCTTTCTGATACACTGTGCTTTAGTAAACTAAAGGCAGATTTAGGCATGCGTCTATATTTCCCTTGCCTGAGAAGCTCGATCTCCGTTTAGATAACGGTCCAGAAGCTACCGACAGGCAGCAGAAAGCGATACAACACCGCCTCACCGCCTGTTTTAACCCCATGTTTTGCCAACCATCAGGCTGCAACTGTATGCATTGCACACAGTTGTGAGGCATTTGGGGTGTTTCCCCATTACTTGAATGTGTAGCACTTGCCAGGCTTGCCTATTGCAGCTTAAGGGGCCAGCTGGCGGGCAGCAAAAACTTGCATCAACAGTGCATTTTTACTACCCTCAACCACAAGTCTAAATGAAGCCTAAGGCTCCAAGTACACGGGACACTTCTGAACGATGGAAGCTGACTGCTGGAAGGTTAAAAAAAGTCTGTTTAGCCGTGTTTGCACACCGCGTTTATGAGCATTTTTCAGCGTTTGCATTTAGAAGTGATTTTTAAAGATAACCTCAGGAGACCTTCCAAAATACCTAAAATGCACTGAAAAAACAGTAAAAAATTACCTATTTCAGACATTTTGAGAGAAATTGAGAGAGCAGAAGCAGAGAAAGCAGTATTTGTTGAGATTAGCTGTCTTTTTTTTGTGGTGTTTGGATGTGTTCCAGCTCATTTCTGTGCAGAAATTATTGCAGCCGTGTCTAACATATTTTCTTTCATGCGAAACCTCAAAGTATGGTCTACCGGGTCCATTTGAGTACCGGGAAAACGCTTTGCATGCATTTTTCATGATGAAAAAAGGCTCTGGACAGCATCTGGAAATGGCAGAGTTAAAAAAAATTTCCAAACGCTTATAAACGCGGTTAGCAGCGTTTACAGGTGTTTGGCGTTGAAATGCTGATAAAATCTACTCCTGAACGCAAGTTTGGTGCGTTCAAAAAAATTACTGTAAACTCAACTGCCTGTAAATGACTGTGTGTACACGGACACATAGGAAAACATTAGGGAGAGTTCAGGGGCTGCTGAAAGAAACGCAGAAAAGCTCCTAAACGTGAGTTTATCAGCTGCAGTGTACGTGGAGCCTAAATGTCCTCCAGTTAGGGCTCATTCACACTTGGCTGTTTTACCAACGCTTGCCAAATGCCCCTATAACGTTTGGCAAGCGTTGGTCCGGCATGTGGAGCGTTTTTTAACGCTCGTCAAACGCTCCGCAAACGCCGCATGCGTGGTTTAGCGGCGGTTGCTAGGCGTTTGCCGAGTGTTTTAATATGCCCCACAAACGCCTATAATGCAGTTTGAGTGGTGTTACCGCTCCACAAACGCCGGCCCGGGCGTTTGCAGAGCGGCACCATAGATGAGAATAGGAGGCTTCAACGCCTCCTGACTCAACCAGAGGCGTCTGTTTTGCCCCGACGTGACGCAAACGCTCCCGTTAGAACAGCACCATGTGCTGTAATGTGCAGAATTGGCAGAGGCGGTAAAAACGCTTCCCAAACGCCTCTCTGCCGCCTGCACACAATGCTAGTGTGAACGTAGCCTTAGGGTTTACATCTACATTAACTTCCACATACTTACATTTTCTCAAGTTCATTATCCAGCGCTTCATCAACTAACAAATCAGCTTTATCAGGCAAAGCACCTGTAGGGACATTAATGAACAAATAATTATAGAAAGATAAACAATGATATTATTTTATATCACGCATAAGAAATGTATAGATATTTTTGATTTCCTTGTTTGTATGGTATTGAAGTCTTGTAGGAACAATATGGGTCTTAAAGGGGATGTCCATTTATCACAAAGGTATTGCTTAAAGCCCAACCTCCTCAATTCTCACCCTGACATACCCGCTGTGAGCTCTAGTCTGGTGTTATTGATCAATACATTTATATAATTCCATTCCATTAGTATGAAGCATATACTAGGATAGCTCCTATGGTGATGATGTATTATTACTACTTCATTGTGTCACCCCTTTTATTACCCTCTGAAGCCTCTTGACTTATGCAGGCCATAGATGGGACGTTTATTGACCGAATTTTCGTCCCCACAAAATATCAGCCGATAATCACGCCGTTAGTGGGGCCAGCCCGTCGGCCGTTTTTCGCGGATCTCCTCATTTATTTTTATGGGTAATGCTGGAAAATCCGCAAAAAACGGCCGTGTTTCGTGGACATGGGTGGCAGCATCGGCAACGGGGAAGACCAATTTTTCGTTTATCGGCCGAAAATTCGTCCAATAAACGGCCCGTCTATGGCCTGCCTAAGAGGCATCTGCTGTCACTTTGTAATTGTACCTGAGCTTACATTATTTTAAAACCAGATTTCATAATCCCCTATGGTTTTATATAATCATTACATCAACTATGACAGTGATCCCATGCAGGCTGGAGGCTTCAATCAGAAAATATGACTTCAACAGGGGCAGACTGACAACTCATGGGGCCCCCGGGCAATAGGGGATCATGGGGCCCCTGTGTCCTTGCCCACACTCAAAAAAGCCTATGAAAAAGGTACCAGGGGCATCTCATGGGGCCCCCTACTGTTTCCAAATGGTCAGTCCGCCCCTGGACTTCAGCCTGCATACACCACTCTAGCTACCCCTAAAGCCCAAAGAAGGTGGAGTGCCTCTATTTATTATTGTATTGGTGAGATGTAATCACAGTATTTAATCTTTTTTTTTTTGTGTGTATTTGTCAGCCTATATTAAAACAGAGCACATTTAAACAGTGTACCAAATAAAATCCTTATATGTGAGTAAGACAAATATACACTTCAAATTTTAAATATGCAAATTAGTTATACAGTCATTGGGGTTGATTTACTAAAGGCATATAGTCTGTGCACAGCAAGTGCAGTAGTTCTAGATCTGAGGGGAAGCTCTTCTGATTTCTATCATCCAATCATGTTCAAGCAGAGATGCTGTTTTTTTTTTCCTTGCATGTTCCCCTCAGATCTAGAGCAAGTGCACTTGCAGAACACAGACTATTTGCCTTAACCCTAGGTGCACACCTGAGCGTTTTTCATTTTTCAGAAACGCACTACAGTCCATTCAGCATGATTTCCTATGGGACACGCTGACATCTCTGCGTGCATCACAAACGGGGCAAAAATGCATAAAAAATGCATGTGCAAAAATGCAAAATGCACTGCAGAAACGGATCAAACGCAAACTGCATAGGTGTGAACCTAGCCTTAGTAAATCAGCCCCATAGTCAAGTTAACTGAATCATTAACACTGCTAAATCTGGCCTGGTCTTCTCAGATCACAAAAGGGTTAGATCATAAAAAAATGATGTAACTCCTTTACGACAGCAATAGGCATATGTGCAGTGGAAGGGTGGGTGGGCCTTAACCATACTGCTGTCTTGTTCTAGGTATACTTCATCAGGTGAAATTCGAATCTTGGGCTTGGTGGCCTTGTCGGCACCACACTACTACTCAACAAACGTCAGTTTAGCACTGGTTCACACTGATGCGGCGTTTTCTGTGCGAATTCCGCACTGCATCAGAATCGCACCCTGTTCATATGAACCACTTCGGGTGTGTATGTTAAGAACACCCCCAAAACGGTCCGCAAAACGCGGCGCAATGTGCACAATCGGATCGCATAGGTGTGAATACCCATGCGATTCGATTGTAGTGAGGACCAAAAAAAGGGTCCTGCACCTTTTTGGTGCGGTTGTGGTGCGATTAGAGTCATACAAAATGTATGGCTCCAATCGCACCGCACACAAATCGCATGTGATTTGCACAGGAATGCGGTGCGGTGCCTGTGCAAATCACATGTGATATACCGCACCACATATATGTTAACCCGGGATTAAAAATAGAAAGAGCCAAGAGGAAAACGGTCAGCTGCACAGTGACTGCATCCAATCAGGCGCAATCACTGTTTGGGTATTCAGACAGCTGTGGGTGAGTACAATAGCCATCAGCGTAGATTCCTCCATCCACGCTGTTTAGCAAGGATGGGGAAATGAAATGTATTTCTTTGGGTATGGCTAGCCTTGACAGAGCATGCTTTGAGCTATAGTTCCAGAGCAGGTGGGTTCTCAATACTCTTATAAAAAAAATAACATCAGCTCATTTTCCGGCATTTGTGCCTTTTTAGCTGGCAGAAAGAGACTCCAATTGCTTTTCAGGCCCGATCAAGCCTATGAAACGCTTCTTTTGATTGCACTTGACAATCTATTGATGGAGATCAAAGGTTTAATGACGCTTAGAACATCTGCAAGGACCATGACCCCCAGACAACTGCTGTGAATGAGCAGCCTGATCTCTCGTGTGCCATCACATTCTGCTAGTGCAGAACCAGGATTATTTCTGAGAGATGGTTAGAGATGAATCAAATTCCTTCACACTTGGTAAGATAAGCTTAACACATTTTTTAATACATGATCAAAGCAGCCATTTCATCTACTTAAGAACCTAAAAGCATTATTATCGCTGCATGTGGGATCTTCTAAATGAAAGATAGGTATGTGCTCTTCAGAGAGATCTTCATTTATGGGTTGATCAAAACTATATCATTTCAGCATCTGACAGTGGCAATGGTGGTCTACCAGCATTAAAAATGCATCTAGCAAACCACTTTGGTAACATGATGACTCCTCGTAAACCAGGTTATAGACATATCTCACTGTCGTGTATGTCTGACACATTTAAAAGCTGTAAATTAGATCAGCCTTTCCTCACCTAGGTTCTGTGAAAGTGTAGAGTTCCTCTAAAGGTTCCTAGGGGGTTCCTTGAGCTGTGGAACATTGATAGCTTTGGTAGCATGGGTCCATGATGATCATCAGTAGTAATAGGGCATTAGGCTGACCACCAATGTAACAGAACATTCTTTTCACCGATCACCAGTGTAGGGGGGGCCTTTTTTCCCACTGACCACCAATCCAAGGGGACAACGCTCCCACACTGACCACAAGTGTAAGGCCTTATAAACACTGGACATTGTTCTATTTGTCCAAGACGTCTTTCCTCCTGGTAGGGGCATTTTGGCAGAAAAAAACACTTGACACCTGCAAAAGTGTGTAATGTGTTTAGCCACGTCAACTGTTTGAGCATCAATTAATTTAATTGGCCAGAATAATAATTTATTCTTGCCACTGAAATTAATTAACACTCAAGCGCAAACCGCACCTAGTGTTAACAAGAGTTTATAAGCAGCAAACAGTTTTTCTGCCAAAATGCCACTGCTCCTGGATGCACTGATAGTGTTTTTTTCCTGCCTCTAAACTCCTCTAAAAGCTTGCATGTCCATGGAGACATAGGCTAACATTCAAGGGCCTTTAGAGGCAGGAAAAAAACACACCAGATGCCCCAAGTTTTTAGGGATTACCAAAAGTTATATAGAGTTGGAGATAGTTGGACAGATTGGTTTAAGAAGTTCCAAAGGACAAAAGAGGCCTAGGAGAAATCCTAGAGGTGAGCATGGGAGGAGGTGATGAGGGAGCTAGAGAGCAGGAGGTCTTGGGAGGAATAAAGACAATGGTTTGTGTCAGGAATGGACTAGCCAGCAATGGTGGGACTCACCTGCCTTTTGATCTGCAGTACCAGGGCTGGCCAGCGGGTGCTCCCAGCAATCAGAGACTCAACTTTGCAGCCAGCTAACACCTGGAACTGATTATGCTGGGGTATTTAAGGGATGGCCAGACTTGCAGACTCCGCCTTGGTGTTGTGTTTCTCTTGGGCCCTGTATCCTGTTCCTGCTCTCTGTTCCTGTCTGATTCTCTGCTGACCCTGCTCTGATCCCTGGCTTGTCTGACCATCCCTCTGCCTGACCCTCTGTACTACGCTGCCTGCTACCTGTTCTGATCCCTGGCTTGTGACCCTGACCATCCCTCTGCCTGACCCTCTGTACTACGCTGCTAGCTACCTGCTGAACCTGGCCTGTGACCCCGACCAATCTCCGCTTGCTCCCCCTGTACCTACCTGCCCAATTGATATTGACCCGGCCTGCCTGACGACGCTTGCTTGTATGTACTGTTATCTGTGGGTGGTTGGTTTGGTTTGATTGCACTGTATTATGTTTAGTATTGCACTGCGTTTATGTTTGTATTGTTATTGTTAATAAATTATATTGTTTATCACATATCTGAAGTCTGCGTTTCCCTGTGTCAGTCACACACCTCTGGTCACACCTGGGAGCCCTGACAGTTTGGTTGGTATTTTGAGATGAGGTTGGTGATGTAGCGGGGGCAGAGCTGTGGATCACTTTGTTCGTTGTTTGTTAGCATTTTGAATGTTATTTGCCGGGTAAGTGTGAACAAGTGGAGGTATTAGCAGTGAGAGGTAGCAGACACTGAACGGTTGGTAGCAGACACTGAACGGTTGGTAATGTGAAAAATTCTGGCAGCAGCATTCATGACAGACTGAAGGGGGGATAGCCTATGTAAAGGTGGGCCAACCAGGAGGGAGTTGCAATACTTGAGTTGAAAGATAACCAGGGAGTGAATTAGTAGCTTTGTGGTGTTGCTGGTTAAGGAAGGGGCATATTTTGGAGATGTTACAGGGGTTGAGGCAGAAAGATTTGGACAGTAATTGGATGTGGGTCCAAAAGAAGAATTTAGATTGAAGAACTCCGATGGAAAGAGGAAGAGGAGGAGGTAGAGTTGTAAATAACAATGAAGATGCAGCAAGATAGATAAGAGGAGAACAAACAAAGAGCAAAGTCTTGGAGGCCAAGGGAAGGGAGTTTTTTAAGAAGAAGGGGGTGGTCAACTGTATTAATGGCAACAGAGAGGTCCAGGAGTAAGAGTACAGAATAGTGACCAAAGGTTTTAGTAGTTAAGTCAATAGTGAGTTTTAGGAGAGCAATTTCTGTGGAGTGCTGCAGGTGAAATACAGACTGAAAGGGGACAAGAAGGTTTTTATCAGTGTGGTGGTAACCCAGATGGTTGTAGACTAGGAGTTTGGAGGTAAATGACAACACGGAGATGGGTCTTAGGTTGTTAAGATTGGTGGGGTATAGCGAGGGCTTTTTTAGCATGGTAGTGATCAGTGCATGTTTTAGAGGGTTGGGGGAAGACATCAGTAAAGAGGGACAGAATTAAGTTAGAGAATGTGGGACAGAGCATGAGGGTGACTATAGCAGCTCCAAGGGAATTGGGTATAGGGGAAGGTGGTTAGCTGGCCTTTAGAAAAAAGTTTAACAGCCTCCTCTATGGTAGCAGGGTTAAAAGAGGGAAGATTTGAGTTTGCAGGTGGACATAGAATGTTAGGTGAGGGAGATAACTGTATGGTGGGGATCTCATCACAAAGTGATTGTCAATCTCCTGGACAGTGAATGAGTTAGTGGGTCAAGACACTGGAGGACGAAGTAGAGAGTTAAAGCTAGAAAAGAGTTGACCGCATGAGAGGGTGGTAATGGGTGATAAAACAGATCTGTTTGGCAGTGTGGACAGAGGAATTATATTTTTGGAGGGCAGATTTATACTGGGAGAGGCATGGGACTTAATTTTACACTGCAGGGCTCAAAAGTGCAGATATTTTTTGAGGCTTCTGATGTCTACTTGCCAAGGTTGTAGCGGTCAGGGCCAGATGGTCAACAAATGAAAGGAAGCTTTTTTTTCCACTGACCAACAATGTGAGTGGTGCCCTCCTCTGACCACCAGTATGATTGGGGCCTTCTCCGTTGATAACCAATGTGGGTGAGGCTTCTCCATTGACCATTATTACAAAAGGGAGCCCTTCTCCAATGACCACCAATGAAAATGGCCAATACAATTTTCACTGTCTGCATTATTTCTGGCTATTATTATTTGTTTTATCTGCTCTGGGTGTCAAATAAGCTAATCATGGCACATTCTTATTTTATTAATTCTTATAGCTAACAAATTGCTGATCATGCTAATGAACAGGGATCTGTAGATATAAAATTTAGGCTTGGGATTCCCAAGACCTCAAATTATTTCCAAAGCTCCTCCATGGTACAAAAAGTTTGAAAAATGCTGTATTACATAACCATAAACAGTAGTTATTAGGCAATGATGTGGCTAATTTTTCATTTACCTTTTTATATAAGATCCTTGAGGTGTTGGGAATGGGACAGTAACATGAAGGTTTATCCACAATGACATTTGGCAAACCCCAGGACTGACTAGAAGTTAGCCATTAAGGAGCACGATTGACTTGCAAAGTAAGTCACTGACTGCAATGAGAGTGACACACCAACATTTTACTTACCAATACTTTTGGTTAATCCCAGCATGCTTTGCCATTGCCATCAGGAATCCATAAAAAGTAAGCCTTGGTGCACTGCTTACTATTTCTCCGATTAATGGTACAGGAGGGCAGGTACTGGAAAAATAACATAAACCACAGTAAAGTGAAAGCAAACTACGTGCAAGAAAAAACATTTATTTAAATTAACACATGGGGTGATGAATATGAATACAGTTGAAATGAATTATAAATGTTTAATGAGATGGTATTTCACACCGAGTGTTGTACATAGACAACGAATAGAAATCTTACCACTATGTTGGAGGGGATGTGGATTTAAGGGAACAATGGCACATATATTGTGGGACTGTCCAAAAATACAGGGGTTTTGGCAAGATATAATCCAATTTATACAAGAGATATTGGGGACCACTATACAGAATGATCCATGGGTATGTGTATTTTTACAGGTCAGATATATCAGTGGAACAGTATAAAATTATTGCATTATATATTATAATTAGCATGGCTAAGGGACCTATTCCCAAATTCTGGCAGGTACAGGAGCATCCAACAATGAGGGACTGGATAGGCAGGGTTGAATATATAAATAAGATGGAGGAGGTATACCATATAGATGAAGATAAAATGGGAAAATTTAGAAAGGAATGGGGTAGATGGCGTGACTTCAAGACATCTAAAAAATATATGGCAGTAGTGGGAGTCCCAGGTGGTCGGAGGCAGGAGAATTGAATGGAACGTCTGGAGGGTCGTAACAATAGGAAAAGGGAAAAGAAAGGTTGGAGAAAAAAGAATGGAAAAAAGAGGAAGCATAGAAAAAGATGATCAAAGAGAAGGGATGTAGACATGGACTGGAGTAGGTTGAGGGGTGGTTGGGTGAGAGGGGTGGGGAGACGGGGTTGAAAAATTCAGGTGAAATGTTTGTATTTTGGACAAATACGATAAATTGTTGAGTTTTGTAATGAAAATTTTAATAAAAGATATAATGAAAAAACAAATTATTACATAAAAATGAGAATAATTTTGTTGATGGGTATGAAGGTGCCATGTACAAAATTTCGCCACACTCTAGGGTATATTTGGGAAGTTTATTGAAGGTAATAGTTCATAGGTAAAAGGTAATGTGGTTTTGGGGGAATTGCCTCCCTCAGGGCTATTAATTGGGGAGGACAATAGACAGTAAAAACATAATAAAATCTCATCTAGTCATAAAAATTGAGATATTTACTGTATATTTTGTACTGTCTACTGTTCCCCACTTAATAGCCTTGTGCCAAGCCAGCCAGCGAAACACCATGGTGTTCTGTGAACTATTACCGGTACCTTAAATAATCTTTTCAAATATACTCTGGAGTGTGGTGAACTTTTGTACCAGGTGCACCTCCTTATCCATCAACAAAATTCTTCCATGAAGCATCATTTCCATCACTGTCTGAAAGATAGCAGGCCAAAACCTTAATAGAGTCCACCTACAGTGCAACTTCATTGGATATTAATCCACCCTAGAAAGAAAATCGACCCGTGCATCTACCAATACCAAGTCTAAAATTGGTCCAACGCTGTCACACACACACACACACTGGATAAAAACAAGAAGGAATGTAGGTTCTCAGCACTAAGAACCAGAAGCTGAGAGATTTTGGATTCAGCTTCAAAATCAACTTTAGAAAGAACTATTGCCCTGACATTCAACCTTTACCTATGAGAACATGTAGTTCTTGTTTATATGTTTTCTCTTTATAATGATTAGGACAAAATACAATGAAAACATTTTTAACCAGGTATATTGCATGTAAATAATTTACATTTAATTTTCAGCCAGCAGGAGGCACTCTTGGCTTCTTTGCTCTCCTTGTATTGGTTTGATGGAAGAAAAACTGTTGACAAAACTCGATAGCGCAAGATGAACTTACCCACTCCGCCAAACGTCAAAAAGCAGTCTCATCCCATCTACTCCCTGACTGGTAAAAATATAACTGCATTGCTTAAAGCCCAACTCTGGGCTAATGTTTCACCCTAATTAAATGTCCTCCCAGCGTTTATAAAAGAAACAAAAAAAACCTAGATAAGGAGTAATTAGATGACTAGCATCATTCAGCCCAGAAATGTGAGGGCATACAGTAAGAGCAGGGCATCATGGGGGCCATGTGACCTCTTTTTTGTGGCCCGTGGGCTGAACGTTCCGTATGGAAAGTAAGATTCTACAATGCATACTGATAGCGGAGTTGTCGAGTGCAGGAATATCCACTGCATTCCAGCACCTGGCACTGCCTGTCGGACGAAGTGACCTCCTGCCTCAAAGGGATAGTATACTTCCAGCCTGACATCACAGGGTTGGAGGGGCATGTTCAGGTAAGTAACCATTGAATGCCAATAAAAGGATTATTAATAGTTTCTGACACCAATAAATGGGAAAGGGGGGGGTGTTATTGTTTCTGACACCAAACACCAATGAAAAGGAGGGGGGATATTATTTCTGACATGGAGACCAATGAAAAGGGGGGGGGGGGTTATTGCTAGCACTGTAACCAATGATGGTGGGTTATTATTGCTGCAAGTGAAGCCAGTGAAAGGCGTTTAATTGCTGTCTCTGCTCTGAGCTTGTTTGAGGTAACTTTATATATAGTGGGGAAAATATTTATTTGATCCCCTGCAGATTTTGTAAGTTTGCCCAATTAAAAGAAATTAAGGTTCTATCATTTTTATCATAGGTGTATTTTTTAAATGATAGAGGCAGAATATCAACCAAAAATCCAGAAAAAATGACACAAATGTTATAAACTGAGTTCAGTGAGTAAAATAAGTTTTTGATCCCCAAGAAAAACATGACTTAGTACTTGGTGGAGAAACCCTTGTTGGCAAACTAAGAGGTAAGACGTTTCTTTTCGTTGGTTACCAGGTTTACACACATCTCAGGAGGGATTTTGGTCCACTCTTCTTTACAGATCTTCTCTAAATCCTTAAGGTTTCTTGGATGTTGCTTTGCAACTCAAAGTTTCAGCTCCCTCCATAAACTTTCTATAGGATTAAGGTCTGGAGACTGGCTAGGCCACTCCATGACCTTAATGTGCTTCTTCTTGAGCCACTCCTTTGTTGCCTTGGCGGTATGTTTTGGGTCATTGTCATGCTGGAAGACCCATCTTCAGTGTTCTGGCTGAGGGAAGAAGATTCTCACCCAAGTTTTTTGCAATACATGGCCCTGTCCATTGGTCTCTTAATGCAGCAAAGTCGGTCTGTACCTTTATCAGAGAAACAGCCCCAAAGCATAATGTTTCCACTTCTGTGTAGGGATGGTGTTCTTCAGGTCATAGTCAGTATTTTCCTCCATCCAAACACGGGGAGTCGAGTTAATGCCAAAGAGGTCAATTTTGGTCTCATCGGACCAGAGCCCTTTCTCCCAGTCCTTCTCTGAATTGTTTAGATGTTCATTGGAAAACTTCAGATGGGCCTGTACATGTGCTTTCTTGAAGAGGGGGACCTTGCGGGCGCTACAGGATTTCAGTCCATGGTGGCGTATTGTGTTACCAATGGTTTGTTTGGTGACTGTGGTCCCAACTGCCTTGAGATCATTCACAAGTTCCTCCCATATAATTCTTTGCTGATTCCTCACTTTTCTCATGATCATCCTTATTTCATGAGGCGAAATCTTGCATGGAGCTCCAGAGATTGATGGTTATTTGTATTTCTTCCATTTGCGAAAAATCACTCTAACAGTTGTCTCTTTCTCAGCAAGCTTCTTGCCAATGGTCTTGTAGCCCATTCCAGCCTTGTGCAGGTCTACAATCTTGTCCCTGATGTCCTTTGACAGCTCTTTGGTCTTGCCCATGATGGTGAGGTTTGAATAGAAGAAAGGGATTCTATGGATAGGTGTCTTTTATACACATAACGAGTTGTCGTTAAGAGTACCTTCTTAAATTGACAGGACTAATCTGTGTACCACATGAGTACATCATAGCCAGTCTGTGGGAGCCAGAATTATTGTTGGTTGGGGATCAAATACTTATTTTACTCACTGAACTGCAACTCAATTTATAACATTTGTATTGTGTTTTTTTTGTGGATTTTAGGTTAATATTCTGTCTCTATCATTTAAAATACACCTATGATAAAAATGATAGACCCTTCATTTCTTTCTAAGTGGGCAAACTTACAAAATCTGCAGGGATCAAATTATTTTTTTCCCCACTGTATATTCTTTTTGTAATAACACATATGCTAAAATATATCCACCATTCTCTGTTTTTCCTTCACAATTAGGCCCTGTGACAGTGTGAAACATGTCAAAGGAGGAGCAAAGTATATCATGGTACATTAGCTGTATTTCACTGAATTCTGTGCAAGCAAGTGTGCCTGTGCTTGTATTGTTCAGTTATTATTATTATACAGGATTTATATAGCGCCAACAGTTTGCTCAGCGCTTTACAATATAACGGGAGACAATACAGTTCAATAAAAAGAGGGTTAGGAGGGCTTTGCTCCTTGGAGCTTACAATCTAAGAGGGAGGAGCTAAAAAGATAACTGTGGGGGATGGACTGATAAGAGGAATAGAAGATTCCATTATGAGCTGAAGGCAGAATAGGCTTCCCTGAAGAGATAGGTTTTCAGAGATCACCTAAAAGTGAGTAGAGTCGGCAATAGTCTGATAAATTGGGGTAGAGAGTTCCAGAAAATGGGGGAGGCTCTGGAGAAGTTATCAATTTTACTTCATTTGGAGAATATCACTATGCAGGTCTGTGCCCTGATACCAGCACAATATGTACTGCGGATACCCACCTTAAACTTTTTTTTTTTAATGTGGTTTGCAAAATATTGAAGAGATATGTAAATGCTTTTAACATTTTTTGCTAGTCGGTTTCATATTTTAAACAGGTGCAGTGTTACCTTTGACCACTAGAGGGAGAAATGTACTCAGGAAAATAGTCTTTCTATAGGAATGGTCTCAGCCTTTCACTGCAGCGGGGCTTCCCTGACCTACAAGAATGAAATGTTGCAGAAAGTTTCCTGATATGAAGAGTTAATGCAACCGTTGCTTCAGACACCTTCCATCACGCCATGGGATCTTCTAAACTCAGCATAATCTGGTCCCCAGTTCTCCATTATCCACCGATAAAGT